TGGCACTTCTGATGTGATGCCGTTCTGTGGAGCGTAGTTTCTTCTGATGGTACCTGTGTGGTGGCATTTGCTATTGCACCTCTGCATACAGTTTGCCAATCTGAAACCAAAGCCTGTGTGTGTATCAGTGACAAAACCCACACCATCAATTTCAAATTTGGTAAAGTATAGTAAGTCTAATCTTACTTTCCTCCTCAAAGTGATAAAAGCTCCAGCAAGGATGGGGAATGTCTGGACTTCCAGATGGTATGCTAGTTAGCCATGGTCCATTTTGGGGTTACACAAGGGTCGCATAACCCAAATGCAGCAGTTGCTCATGACATGACAACCCCCACGCAGGGGTTGCATATCCAACCTGGGTTATCATGGGTTAAGTAACCCATGAGAAGCTGTTGCACCCTGTCCAGATGTGGTTCGGCAGGTAGGAGAAGAGAAACAAAGAGACAGAATGAACAAACACAGGGGAGTTATTTTGTATTGCATGTTTTCCAGAAAAGCAACATTAAAAACATCTGCCTCAAATATATCGTTTGTCCTGTAAAGGGCAAATTCCTTCATCAGCATTACACAGAAGCTCCTAACATTAATATTGGTTCTCCCTGTGCACTGGAAACTCCCATGTTCGTGCCCGCAGGAGCTCCATCTCCTGATTTCCCCACTTGCATCAACTCCCATTGTCAGGGAAGTGGGAGTCCTGAGCACATGGAAAGAAGAGAATATCTCAGTTGAGATCTGCTGTGTTGGTAATAAAAGAAAATTTTGTCCTACATTTTTAAACACAACATTCTTGATAAACACACGCACACACGCGCAACCTAACATCAACCCTTAAGACAAAACCTCTAGCAGTTCATAACTGGGATTAATGGTTGCAATTTTCAGTCACTTAGACATGGGGTCCATTACAGACAACTCTCCCCCCCCCACCCCCAAATATAGTGTGGCTCTCTGCGGGATTAAAGATTCTTTTATACCCTTTCTTTATCTCTTTCCTCCCATTTTTCACCTTTTTTGTCTCATAAATGTTATAACTGCAATGTGCTCAAACTACCTTTCTCCCTAGCCAGATATTTCTCTCTAGCCTATTGATGCTCTAAAAATGTAGTCTCCACATGCATGTTGTCTCAACTGTATAGAACCAGGGAAGCTTAAGTCCACAGACCCATGTCTTGTGAATTGACTATGACTGGGTTCACATGACATGACAAGCAACCACTGTTGGTTATCGACAAATATTTGTTTGGTTGTCTGAACCCAGCTGTTACAATATAACAAGCAACCCGGTTGTTCACTGGCTCTTACTTGCAAACCCAGCCTGTGTCTTGGTTTCAGCAGTGCCTTCCATGAGCAGAAAGGCATTTGCTCTCGCTTGAGGCAGCCCTCCCAAATTTGATGATTCTTCCTGCCTGCCACAGCCACCACCCTGGTTGCCCAGTCCACACCATTCTACATAATTTCTCAACTAGAAGGAAAGCTTAGTGACAAGAAGGGCCCAGGAAGGCCCTGTTCTGTGAGCTTAATTTTATTTATATTTCTTTGGACCCATCTTCTTGTTTATGGTTTTTCTTAAGCATGTTCTCTCCATTTCCTCTGGAGAATCTTACTGTGCAGCAGACCATGTTGGCTGTGGGATACCAAAGCAAGCCTGAGTGGATGGTAACTCCCACTTTAGTGCCTTCATGATTTGTTTAAATTTAAAAACCGTTGTGTTTTGAGCCCTAAGCACACATGCAAAGTTAATTTCAAATGCCTCACATACTTCTTTGTGGCTTTTCTAAACCCTAAACTGACCATGTGACATAGTTTTTAATTTTTTTTTTAACATGTAGGCTACAATCGAACATTGCCACTCTCTTTGCTCTCCTATCATTGGCTGTGGTAGAAAAAAAGAGCCTCATTGTGTGCAGCAGTCTATCTGCTGTAGGCAGCAAGAGGAGCCCTGTGTGTGCAGGCTCTAGATAGCAGATGCAGACTTTCAGAAAAGTGTGTGCATCCCCTACTGAAGTGTTGGCAATGGATTTGAAGGAGCAGGCCACATGTCCTTCAGACAGTAGAGCAGTTTATGCACCGATGCATTTCAAGTAAAAAGAATCTGATAGATGTTTGACAGTGTAAACTGTTCCTCCGCTCATACCAGCTCAGGTGGTCTTTGGCTGAGGCAGAGTCTTTCGAATCAAAATGCACTGAGCCTTAAATCGATTGGTTCCAGTGCAACTTTTTCTCTTCTCTTCATTTTCTGTTGCTGAAGCAACCAGGCTGGCACACTAATCCAGTTATGTGTAGTTGACTAGAACTAAATTCTCACTCGTTAGAAGTTACGTGGTGCTAAAGGATGGCACCCACATCCAGAGCTGCAACCCTGACTACATTCTGCTGCAAGTCGTCATCATGAGTAGTTGTGTGTGACTAGCTTTGCATAAGGCCAAAGAGCTTCCCATCAGTGCTGGTGGGCAATTGCACTGGTACCACAGCAAACATGAGGCGATGGCCCAGTTGTCTAGACGAGAAAGACACATTCCATCATCCCACCCCGTTCCAAGTGAGGGCCACAAAACAAATTTGTTTATTGTCAGTGACACTGCCAAGACATAAATCTTACTGGCGGACTGGTACTATTTTCTGATTGAGTTTCATATGTGATCCCAGGTTGGCTGGAACATGGAATGAAGAAGAAAGAATCTCTAACACTGCACTGAAATAGCAACTGTGGGGGGAAATTGACCTAAGGGAGGGTCAGGTTTCAGGTTTTTACTGGATTTTGCACCCCACAAAAGCTGACATTTTATCTAGGCATTGCTTGAGCATAAAAATGTAGCTTTACAAACCAGAGGAAGTGACAGTTGTCATTCTACTGGAGAGAAGGATATTGCTGCTCTTCCACCCTACCCTTCCACCACCTCCACCACCACCTCCTACAGAATGTCCAACCTGGAGAACACGTGAGGACTTGGAGAGGGATGAAAAGATGCAGAAGTCTTGTTGTACCAGTGGCATTCTTCCTCTGGCAGGATGAGAATTCTAGATCCAAGCCAAGATCAGATTTTTCCTTCTCTTTGAGAACATGATGGCTTCTCTGCTTGAGTAAGGTGGAACTAACTGTGTTATAGGCAGGACAAGAGAAATAGTCATGCTTTTGAAACTGACATTTAAACCCATATTAAGCACATGGAAATGTGGGCATTCCAGAGTTCTGCCTTGATCACACAGTAGGACATTATGGTAATAGACACAGTAGTGGTTCACCTGTAACAATAAAACAGAATTAAAGAGTATTGAATTCTTGTGAACAAAGTGGTATGCTAATACATGCTGCTTGACCAAGTCCATGTGGCTTTTCCTTTCAGTAAGAGTGGCTAAATATACTACAGCTATCCATACATGGTTTGTTTATTGCAGGGATGGGGAATGTATGTCCATCCAGATGTTGTTGGAGTTGCCCATCAGGCCTAGCTAGGCACTACAGTGGTTACTTGGGAACTGCAGAAAAAAGGAGAAAAGAGGACATGCTTCATAAAAAATAGGGTTTGCATAAAATATGCAAATACTAATTTATATGTATAGGAGCAAATCAGGAAATTATTGCTCTTATAATTTAAATAGAAAAATACTACATCTCACCATAGTGTAGAAGGCTGTGCACTCTGCTCATCCTGCTGTCCAGATAGTATTGACAGAGAATTTGAAGACCCAGCTCTTTCTTCTCATTGGTTTTTATATGGACGTGGATTGGAAGGCCTTTTAAATACAGGATGCCTATAAAACAAAGGGCAGTCCTCTGGCAGTTTCTGTCCTCTGTACAAGAAGATGCATGACCACCCTAAGCATTAACCAGTGAAGAGAGATGTTGGAAGGTCCTGTCCAACAAATCTGTTAGGTCACATGTTCCCTGTGCCCTGATATGTTGTGACACGTGAACCAGGGATCTCTCCTCAGGCAAGCCAGAGCTGTAAGCCACAATTTCTTTGGCAGGTTCTCTGGAAGGACCTACTTACCGTAGAAGCACACTGTCTTCTTCATGGTAGTTTATTGTTCCGTGCAAATGCAACATGGTTACCTGAGAGAGTTGCACTGAATCAGATTTAAGTGTAATTCCTTCACCATAATAACCATTACTTTGAGACCTTAATATCCAGCATTGCTTTACAGTATTCTGAAATGGAATGAGGTATAAGGCATTGCTACCACATAGAAGAGTGGTTGTTTTTTAGCTGTCTTGTACATTTTAGACTGTAACCCTATAAGCAGGACCCTTGTTGATTTTCAGATATTCTACAGTGCCTAGCATGCGGCCGTGTGGCTCAATTCTAAGCATGTTTGCTCATCGGGAACTTGCACTTCGGGAAGTTACTTCCTCCTAAACCTTCTTGTGAGTGCAGCCGTGGGTGCTTTTAGAAATTCAAAGAAGACACATGCTACTGGGGAGAAGAAGACTGGGACACCACATTCTGTCTTAGACCTTCCTCATCTTCTTACATGCAGTTTTCATGTACTAGTGATCCCCCATGGGAGTTCTCCTGAAAACGTATCTATGAAGACATCAGCGGGAAGGATTGATATGTTGGAAGCCATCACCAGTGGACTTTTTCAAATGAATCCGTGATCATTCCTATAAATGGGGTAGAGAATGATCTAGTCCCTGCAACCGGCAGGGTGTTGCATGATGTGATTCTAACGGTTTCTAATCCACAGTTTAAGAAATTCTGTATTTTGCATTACAATCCACATTTAGTACATCTGTGAATGGATATTTAGCCAAACACTATCTGGGACTTAGGCCTTGGGTGCCTTTAGGTAGAAAAGTGCTATTGAGGATTATAGAAATGACTGCAGTGCACACACAAGTAAAATGTTATTTTTAGTTTGCATGCAGTGGCTTAGGCCACTTAGCATAGTGGCATAATATTATTCCTCTTGTATGGTTTTATTGTAGTCCTGCTAGTGTACTTTATTTCTTTTACTGTACAATAAATGCATATCCCTTTCTTTCTTTTTTCTTACAGAATCATACAATGACTCAACATAGCAGTTAGTGCAAGGCTCAATTCTTCAGGAGAGGATTCTTTGCAGGACAAAAAAAAGGGAACACATTTTACTCTTTGCACGAGACTTTCATTGTTAATGTATATTATTCAGAAACATTGTATTGTACCATAAAACTTGTATTATCAAAACTGTTGGATGTTCATGTGTTTGAACTTTGAGCACCGGAGAGACTTCCTGTATATAAAGTGTTGCACATGTATTATGTTGTCTGATACTAAAATGGTCTTATAAAGACAAGTGGACTTGGGCCCTATTCAAGCAGGATTAAAAGGATAATGATGATAATGACAAGTAAAGGAAAGCAATGGTTAAGAAAATGTTAATTCAAGAAAGAGAAGAAAAAGAAGAAGAAAGTAGCAGTGATACATTATAACCCTATTTGGCCTTCCTTTCTTTCAAGCTTATGTCTACAATCTCTGTCTTTTGGTATACAAACAGATGAATTCAAGAATATTTTTATCGCTGAAGAATCTTGCAAAAAATAAAACAAAATATGGAGACTCTCCAAGCGGAATCCCCCAGCTGAATATGGCCTGTATATATATTTGTAAGCCTTGCGATATGACAGATAGCATTATCATATATGCAATAGTTGTTATGTAGATTGTCAAAGAAACTTTTTTCCCTGGATACCATTTGAAGCTTTTGAGTGTTCAAGACTTTTCCTTAATAATGTCACATGGCCAAATTTTTGAATCAGTTGAACTAACCTGTATGTTACTGTTATTAATGTTTACTCTGCGGTCTGAACCTGGAGATTACTGGAATGGTTTTCCAAGAGGAAATAAATTCAGTTTACCATTACATAAAATGTGGTCGTGGCTTTTGTCCCAGATAAAAGTGTATCTTCTCCCCCTGTGCAAATGAATTGTGACATGCAAATAGATTGTTTCCCTACTACCTCAGACATTTCTACCATACACTTCTGTGCCTAGGAATGAACAATTATTAGTCCATACAATCCAGTTGCCATTTCTTACTGTGTTAAATGTCCAGTGTTTAAATGTATATTTATTTTACTTGCTAATATTAACAGAACTCGGAGAAATACCAGGATTATTGTAGATGCCCGAATGCAAAGGTTGTATATACCAGTCTCCTAAAGTCTATGGCTGCCATCTGCTCCGTTTTAAACCATGCCCAGTTGTCTGGGCGCTTTATTTTACAGTGTTCTACATCATTCAGGAGAAGTAAATTCTCTTGAGTTCAGTGGGACATACTACCCAGTAATGGGCCTTAGAATTGCAGCCTTCATTTTGCCTCCCCCCACTTTTATTTTTGGGCTCAGTATTTTCTGATCTTTTTAATTCCAGCCTCAAACACTGGGAGGACAACATGTGCTTAAATGAATTATCTTAGGGAGGAGAGCAGTGTCTGATTTCTTCCCCCATCCTCTCAACTAGAGGTGGCAACCCTGTTAAATTTCCAGCCACAGCACTGACACGGACTCCGCTGCCCTCCAGTCCCTCGTCCTCACTGCTGACAGAGATGGCAGTAGAGGACATGGCCAAAGAGAGCGCTTCAGTGAGCACTCCAGCTTCTCATTTCCTGTGGGAGATTGTTCAAAGCCAGCAAAAAAGTGTTGCTGAGAATGGAATTAACCTGTTTGTCCCATGTACAAGTAAAGCAAGACTACACCATGGAGGCCTCTTTTGCTTTTTGTCCTCAGATGTGCTTGTATGGAAGTTAATCCCAAATCCATTTTCCACATTTGTTGGAGTTGTTGGGTACTTTGAAACGCCTTATGCAGTGGTTAAGCTGCACAATGTAATGCCACAAAGGTCTGGAGTTGCTTTCCTTTTGCTGTCAGGGTAGATTTTAAGTGTGATTTCCAGTTTGCTGAGCATCACAATCTGAATCTCTACAGATGGATGGCTGGAAACAAAGTTTTTTAAAAAAAAGCTTGCTTGCCAGAGATTTCAAGGAAAGAATGTGTCATGTTTCTTTCTCCAGCCTTCAGAATTCTGTGCATATGTTGCCAAGTACAGGGGGGAAATCATCCCATATTTTTATAAGAAAATCTTATTTCTGCTGACAAAAGAATAAACACAGGCAACTAGACATCCCCTGCAAATGTCATGCCAGGTTCTATTTATAAGTCACCATTCCAGTTCCATATCCATTAATACATTACTCATCTCTGCCAAACTGGATCTGGTGAAGTGTTCCCTCTTCATGGCAAATACCTTTTTTTAAAAAAAAGTGCAGGCATTTATTTCAGCCTTCATGTGTGAAAGTGTGACATATTGGTTAAAACTGCAAATAGCATGTTTTTTGTTGAGTTCAAGTATGTTAGAAATATTACACCCTACTGTGTTTGTGCCACTGAGTTGAGACAGATGGTAGCTGGGAAAGATGCAATCTTATAATCAAAAGCTAAAATATGTCAAAAATATGTTAGCAAGCAAAACATAGCATATTACTTCTTATGTCATGACAGCTTGCAAAACACACAAGCTTGTTGAATTTCTAGTTATGTAAATACTGTAGCACAGTAAACAGCAACAGCAAGTGCGATAGTAGCTTTGTACATCGTTCAGTTCTGCAATTCAAGAGTAGGGATTAGAAATCTTTTGGTCACATTCAGCTCCTAGTTAGAACAGCAAGTTGCTGGTATAAATACCTGCCTTCCCTTTACATTTCACATTAGTTCTTGGTTTCTTGGTTGATACCCTAAAAAGCCATTTAAGCAGATTATAAAACATTCACAGTTTTGAGTGAGAATGGAATTTTCCATGGAATCTTATCAGAACATTTAGCCAACTGAACAAGATAAGGGTATCAGCTTGCTGAGCAGGGGAAAAAAATCAGATATTCGGTGTGCTTTGTTTTACAATCTTCCCCAGTGGGTCACTCACCCAAAGCTTAAATGACCCACCCTAATGAAAAGAGAGCATAACCGTGCCAGCAACCAGGGGGAGTAGAGCAATGGTAGATGGACGTGCAGCATGTCAGAGCAGGCCACTGCTTTACTGAATGGGAATGCCTATTATTTGGCATGAAGGCAGGATAAGATTAGCTTGTAAGAAAGAAATAGCTCATGATTGAAGGCTGCGTAGGTTGATGCCACCACCTTCAACTTACAGTTGCAATCATCACTTGTTTCTCCAAGTGGATTAGCTGTCACACAAAGGCTTTCAGGCCTCTGCAGAAGAAATTATGGGAAAGCCGCTCATATTCCACATCCATGGCAGGTACTCCCAAAAGTACAAGCAACAGTTCTGGAAGTAACCAAAGAACCACCAAGACTGTAAAACAGTGGCAAAGCACAGAAATGTCCTATAAATGCCCCCAGCTCTCAAAAGATAAAACAAAACAATACTTACACCATAGATCCAGTCTGATAACCTTCCTTTCCTTTCCTTTTCCTTTTTTTTTTTAATAAGTTTTATTCTTAATAAACCTAACAAAAAAGAAACTAAAAACATCAATCATCGAGAACATCGGACCTGCTGGGTCAGCCCCCCACATTTTTTCTTTTTATGTTAAACTATAAATATATTTAAATCTATGCATAGTCCCGTTTCACAAGCCAATGATAAAAAAAATCCCAAGTTTGACAGAAGTCTGTATCTTCTTTCTCCTTCAGAGACAAAGTCAATCTGTCCATTTCTGCACAGTCCAAGATCTTTGTTAGAATCAGTTCGTCAGTAGATGGCTCTTCATTCTTCCAGTGTTAGGCAAATGCAATCCTCACCACCATAGTTACATGTAGAGTCAAATACATTGCTTGTTTGTTAAGATCATCAGGTATAATGCCTAATAAGAAAACTTCAGGTTTAAAAGTTAGGGATTATTGTAACATTTCATCAAGCCATTTGTGTATTTTAATCCAATACTTTTTTGTCTTATCACAGGTCCACCACATATGATAAAAAGTACCCGGTTTATGTTTACATTTCCAACATTCATTGGACATAATTGGAAACATCTTAGCTAACCTATTTGGCAACAAATACCATCCTGACAACCTTCCTTTCTGACTTCTCAGCCAGCCTAAGTCTGTAACAGCACATCTGAGAACTAGCCAAACAAGACCAAATGAGGTGAGGTACAGCATTACTGCATAACAAGGATTGGATCCAGATGGTAAAAGTGGATGCACAAATAGGAAAATTAATTTGAGCCTCTTCCTGGATTCATTCTCCTAAAAATAGCAAGAGTTAGGATCCTACCCAAGTCTGTCCCTACTCCCTAATATATCCTGAGCTGTTTATTCCATTTAAGACTATTTCAATTGTGAAGGTTGCATTCAGTCATCCTTCTACAGAATGGTAGCAAAACTGGATTTGGCTAATCCAGATTGTAGCCTAATGTGGTCACTGGAAGTCCTTTAACCATGTTCTCCCCGTGTATCAGGTTCTCATCATCTTCTGTTGTATCAGTTTCATCTTCCATACTGGCTGCAGCAAAAAACTTGGCAATCTTTTTCCCTTCACAGATAATATGTCAAAGAGGCTTGCAGTGAGCAGGACTGAAGCCAGTAATGGAACAGGGGCCCAACCAAAAGTGGTGTCCCTTTAAACCCCAGTTCCATATTTTTTTCTGTGCAGGATCATGAAACATGCACAATTTTTGATGCTATTTTACAGAGGCAGAATAAAACCCACATTTTTTCTTAACAGATTCCAGGACCAGTCAAGACAGTAGCTCCCTGTACTGTGGGATGCAGTAGCATAAAAAGCAAATTGTGGAAGGAGCCAGATACCTTCCCTTGCAAGGGACATTCAGCCTAAACATTCAGGCTAATCAGTCAGAGTCTGGGCTGCCCAGATTGTTCTTTGTCTACTTTGTGGATCAGCAGGGACTGCTGAACACAAACATCCTCCTGAAGGTGCTAGAACCTGAACTACATTATATCACCAGAGTATCAGGGATGCACTGCATACCTCTGTGCTTTTGCTCTTGCTCGTTGAAATGTCCTCCAGAAAGGGAGAAAGAGCTGTTCCTTATATAATAACGTATCGCCCAGCTTTCTGTTTATAACAAAATTAACAATTAATTCACGCCTTGATTGAATCTCTCCTTATTTAGATGTCACAACAGATTTTCACAGCCCGCAAAGGGAAAGCTTTAGAAATGTTAATATTTTGACAGGCAAGACACCTAAAAGTAAATGATTCATAATTGGTGACAATTAGACATTACTTGGTATGAACACAGAATATTAGTTGCCACAGTGAGTGGAGAGAGGACTGGGCGTCACAAATAATGCAAAAGACTCCATGGAAAGTCCTTGGCCACATAGGCAGGAAGATAGCATTGCTTCCACTCCAATGCTTTCATTCATACACTACTGCTCAATTATGTTCAAGGGGCCATCACACATGACTAGCAAATGGAACATTCTTTTTGTAATGTTCTTTTCACTCAGATGCCCATATAATGGAAGAAAAGCAGGCAAAATCAAGCACGGGCACAATATTATTTATCCAAATGGTACAGATTCTGTTGAACTGCAGTTTGAAATTTGCATAAGATCACATGAAATTGGAGTGATTGCATTTTCACATAAGAGAAAACTTCAGAAGTGAATATCAGATCACAAAGGTTCTAGCATACAGATGTTCTGTTGAGTTCTCAGGCTTTAGAAATTCCAACAGATACATAAGACTGCTATTTTACTAAACACAAGCCTAGGATTGCAGTGCAACCGTGCAGTGCAAATTGGATTTGTAATCCAAGGTAAGACCTACTGAGTTTAACCAGACTTGTTCCCAGGTAAGGTTGCAGTGTAAATAAAGAATATTTGGAAGGCTATAGCTGATATAAGAATATGGATAGTCCCAAGACGCCAGTAGATGGACAGTG